AGATGACTTAGTTTCCCACTTTCCAACGAAAGATATGAAATAGAAAGAGATTACATTAGGAATGTAGCTTTTAGTTAGTTGTTAAATTAATTAGAAAACGTAGATATAGGTTAATGATTTCTGAAAATTCGACTTTTCAAGTGGAAAAAGATACGTCTAAATATTTTTCGATACCGTTTGATAGAGAGTTATCCCGTGGTCTAAAAGGAATATTTAAGAATGTCAATTATAAACTTGTGTATAGTGCTAATAATAAATTACAACAATTATTAGGAAATCCAAAGGATAAAACACCTCCACTGGAAAGGCCGGGTATTTATGAGATTTCTTGTAAAGATTGCAGGGCCGTATCTGGGGGGGTGTTTTGGGGGTTCAAACCCCCCCCGAAATTATGGCCGAAAATTTTTAAAAAGTAATGATCATTAAGTAAGTAAGAACGAAACAAAAAAAAAGAAGAAGAAGATGGATGAATATCAATGACTAAAGAATACAAGGACATGTAACGCCCATATACGGGCTGCAGCAGAATTTGTGACCTTAGACGCCAACTTTTTAGACATAACGAATGAATCATCAGCTGGTCATCAGCGACAATTTTAGCGATTTTTAATAGTTGGTTGTGTGTAGTGAACTTTGTATAAACTTTATTACAATGGTAATTTGTTCAGCTTTCAAGTGTAAAAGGCGCAATGATAAGAAAGAGCCAGAAGTTACGTTTTATAGGGAAATAAACAGTCCCCTACACCTTTTTAGCGTTTTTTTTTGAATTCGATAATTATTTTTCTGATATTATATGTACTTGATATGTACTATACGTCGATACTAGTTATGTACCTTTTGTTAACATTTTAATACGTTTTTTTCGTAATTAATTAGTATGATACCCCCCGATACACCATAGGCGTAGTGAAAACATATAATATCAAAAATATAAATATCCCTTCAAGCGGCAATGTTAAGTAAAATATATGCTACGGCACTGTTTGGAAGAATGGTCACAGTTTGGTCTCGGGTGCTATTTGTCCTTGTATTTTTTAGTCATTGATGAATATACATTATAGACCCTAACCTCACTTTTCCACTTTGAAAGCAAATGTTATTTTCGATTTTCGACTTTCAACATTCAAGTGTTTAAAACAGCAAAAGTTTTACAAGGACAAGATTTTGAATGTTGTGTGTTTTGCTGGTCATTAACGTGATTAACGTTTGTTATTGTTCTGCTATTAGACAAAGAATTCTTGGGCTTTGACACTTTAGCGGCAGAACTAGACTTGTGGCGGCAAAAATGGAAGCAGCTACCTGCAGTCGACCGATCTAAAAACGCCATCGAAACGATAATCGGAGTGTAACCAGTGTATATTTCCAAATATATACATTTTATTAATGATCCTAGCAACTCTACCAGCGTCAACAGCTACACCAGAAAGGTCTTTTTCAACCCTAATGCCGCAACCGCGCATGCGGTATTCGGCGATCTCCGATCGGGGCTTCGCCGATTTCCTATGTGTGTGGATGAGGAAGTCGGAGTTCGGCGACTCGATCGGCTACGAGAACGAGCGCTCATCTCTATGTTGTTGCTATCAGAGCCCGCATGTGTGGATGGAAAGGCGAAGTCCGATCACGAGCGTTCGGTAGTTGACGAGCGAGCGCTAGGAGTTCGCTAAATGCCGCATGTGCGGTTGCGGCATAAGACGATTGAAGGACTTCCTACGTAACTCTACAGGTCAAGAGCGATTGACAGGACTTGCTCTATTAAGCGGACATAGAGAAATAAATATCGATATCGAAGAGGTAGTCAATCGTTTTTCCAGGGAAAAGACCAGTTTATCCTTTAAGATTAATAATTTTTACCTGTTACTTTTTTAAAATGTTATTTTCAATTAAGATTTGAGTGTAGCCCAAAGCGATTTTTTTATTATGCTTTTTTCCTAGCAGCTTTTGTAAAAAGCCAAACCCCCCCCCGAAATTTTGGTCTAGATACGGCCCTGAAAGATTGTAATCAGAAATATGTTGGGCAAACTAGAAGATCAATAGTAACTAGATTTAAAGAACATTTAGCTCAGATAAGATATGGTAGACCGGATAAATCTTGCGTTGCCGAACATATTGTTGATAAAGAACATTGTATAGATCTTAATAATTTAAAATTAATTAAACAAGTCCCAAATTACAGGCAAATGCATATGAAAGCATCAGAATTAATAAATGTAAAGATAGTATGAACAGAGACAACGGTCCAATTCCTTCAAGTTCTTTGTTCCTACTACTCTAGTGGCGGAAATCTAACTGTTACGCTCAGTGGGCTCTGACTCGGTTGGCTAGGTTTTGCCACGCCCACTCGGTGCCCACTGGGCAAGTATATAAACGCTCAACTTGTAGATTGTACTTTGGTTTATAATCATCTGCTGATGATGCTAACATGGTTAGCGAAACGCGCGTGCGATGTAAAAGTAAAAGTGTTTTGGTGTATTGTGGTGATTTAGTGTTTTTATTTTGCTATACGAAAACGGAAAGATGTAGTAACGAAATGTTTTGTGGGTATATGTTGAAAGGCAATGTGCATAATTTTAAATTATTTTCAAATGTAGGGCGTGTGTTAGAGCTAAGATCCATACCAAAGTTATATTTTTTCTCATGGAACACACCCGGTATTTTATTTCATTTTTGGATTCATGGAAATAAGGCATTTATTATAAGGGTTTAATATGTTTAAATGGTTTTTTTTAAGATATTCCTGACTTTTTAGAGTTAATTTTTATGCTGACTTTGAAGCCAGAGAAATAAAATTTGACAAAAATTTGTATTGTGTCCTTAATTGTATACAGGGGTATTAAATATTGCTGGTCTATTTTAAATAATAATTATTTTACATAAAGACTTCGTTAGTTCAAATGCAACATTATGAAGGTATTTTTTTAAAAAAGTCGAAGCAGATTTAAATGCTCTTACAAACTATATTAGGGTTTCCTATACCTATCTGGCTCAGATATAGAATAAAAAGCGATTTTTCAATAAAATGGCAATCAAGATGGCTGGTGTCGCATTGTGTATGGCAATTTGCTAGTGAGAGTATACCGTGAAACGGGGTAACTTCGACAGCGGGGGTAACTTCGACATGTATATTATAATGCTTTTTTTCAGGTTTTTGTTGTTTTCAAATGTTTTTGTCGAGGTTTTTGTGGTTTTTCAGGTAATCCAAAGTTTTTTCTATTGTTTTTGTTTTCTTTAATAATTTTTTTGTATTATAAGTTTTATTTATTTACTTTTATTATTATTTTTTTTTAGTTTGCTTTAGTTTTTCTCTTTGTTTCACTCTTTTTTAATTAACTTTTGTTGAAGATGCCGCGCACCTACGTCAAAAAGTGGATCAAGTGTGTCACCTGTGGAAAGTGGGTTTGTGGATATTGCAACGGTGGTTCCAAACAAGTGAGATACGAATGTCCTCCATGTTTCGACGATGATTAAAATTTCGTTCCTAGTGTTTGCTTTGTTTTTTACGTTTTAAACTTGTTTTAAGTGTTGTGTATTTATGTTTTTTACTTTGTTCAATGAATTTTAGTTAAGTTAAAATAAAGTCTTTTAAGTTCTGTTAGTTCAGATGCAAAATGTGCTAGGTAGGTATACCAAAGTTTCTGAAAATAGATGACTGTATTTTTTTGTTTCGTTTGTCTAATTTAGGCCTATAAACTATTCCCTAATGTTTCTAGTTAATAATTCATAATGAATTTTTTTTTTTGGTGTCGAAGTTGCACCGGAGACGTCCAACTTCGACTTCATGTAGAATTAAGCAATTAAGCATGGTGTCGAAGTTATCCCAGATACGGGATAACTTCGACACCAAATAAATAAAATAAAAAAAGTAGAAGCAGGGGTGGGGGGGAGTTGTTTGTTCGGCTATGAAGAACAAATCCTTCAATTGTTACGACGACACATAAGTCACGGTTCTCAAGACAATAGTTTTCTTCACAAAGCACGAAATACAGCTGAAACCTGTCGAAGTTACCCCGTTTCACGGTACTAATGTACTAATATCGATTTTGAAAATAGTTACTAAGTGTCACTAGAAAATTGCCATGGCGACACCAGCTATCTTGATTACAATTTTATTCAAAAATCGCTTTTTATTCAATATCTGAGCCAGATAAGTATAGGAAACCAGTAGAGGTAGAAGGGGGTTTCTACATCAGGAGCAGGAGCAGAGCGCACTGCGCATGCGCGTAAATCAGCTAGGAACATGTAAAATACGCTAATAAACAAGAATAAACAGGTTTGAACCGCTTTGAACAGCTTTTGAACATCTTTGAACCGCTTTTTAGCTTAAAACAACAGACTTGTTCATTTTTTGTTCATACCTGTTTATTTCTGTTCAAAAGCTGTTCAAAGCGGTTCAAACCTGTTTATTCTTGTTTATTAGCGTATTTTACATGTTCCTAGCTGATTTACGCGCATGCGCAGTGCGCTCTGCTCCTGCTCCTGATGTAGAAACCCCCTTGTACCTCTACTGAAACCCTAATATAGTTTGAAAGAGCATTTAAATCTGCTTCGACTTATTTAAAAAAAATACATAATGTTGCATTTGAAATAACGAAGTTTTTATGAAAAATAAATATTTAAAATAGACCAGCAATTTTTGATACCCCTGTATACATTTAAGGAAGTAATCCGATTTTTTAGTAAAGTCTATTTCTCTGGCTTGAAAGTCAGCACAAGATTAATTCTGAAAAGTAATGTACAGGGGGTTGACAAACTTTTTTATTATAGCATGCATATTTAAATATCTTTAATATCTGAAAAACCAAAGCTTTTAGACATATTAAATGCTTATAATAAATGCCTTATTTTATGCCCAAGAATCTAAAAATGAAATAAAATACCGGGTGTTCCATAAAGAAAAATATAACTTTGATATGAATATTAGTTCTGACACACCTTGTACATTTGAAAATAATTTTAAATTATGCACATTGCCTTCCCACATAAATCCATACCGACAATTTTCATCCAAATACCGAATTTAGTTTAAAAATTATTTCGAAAAAATCGAAATAAAAATGAAATTTCTACACCCCGTATCTCCAAAACGAAGCTATTTGGTTGACATAAGTTGACTTATTTTTATGTGCAGAATATGCTGTCGAAGTTTCCGGAATACAGTTCGGGCCCATCCTGTATAACCAAATAATTTTGAAGAGTCCAAAATTTCCTAAACCCAGAAAATATAAAAAAACTTTATAAGAATGGAACAGAATTTTCTACAACGATCTCTACCAGCGAAATTGTTCCTTATATAATTTTATAACGTCCTAAAATCATTCGTATCTCGTTCATCTTATTATACATAGGGTATATCACAGCTAGGTGACAGTCTAGTGCTTTCAGCTAGGAGTGCCCAGCGACATAGGTCCGTTTTTCAAGTGGGTCGCGCTGCCGAAAGGCTGATTCGAATTTGGCGGGGGCTGGCCAGAAGCGGACATGTTGTTGTTCATGTCGCCGCCAGGTGGCGGTAGAGGAGGTCGGTGGCCGTTCATCAGGTGCGTCGGCAACGCCGTCTGTAACAAAGGAAAAACAAATTTAAATTTTCATGAAAATTGGAGTAGTATCCATTTCTCTTTTTTTTACCTTTATTTTAATCGTAGAAACTAAAAATGCAATAATGTACTGGGTGTTCCATTTAAAAAAATACATCTTTAATATTTTTTATTTATTTGGGACACTCTGTATCTTGTAAAAATATTTTTAAATTGTAGCTCTAATAGTCCTTCAACGAACCCAAAACTTACAATTTGTAAAAATCTAATCGTTTAGCTACAATACTCCGTGTCGTATGTGGCGAACAACCCTGTATAATCCTGTTATTTTGTTTTAGACGCAAAAGACGCTTCACGCTAAAAACGCAAAAAACGCTTGTGTGGCCGTGCACTTAAGCCGATTTACAATCAACAATATTTGACAGATGCTGTTGCCATGCGACTTTGGTCATAGCCTACTATCGACAAAACCTACGTGATGGATTACTGTTGTCTTAGAGTGTTACAGAAAAAAAACATTAAAATTAGGAAAAATATAAAATTCCGGATACTTTCTAGACGGACTATACAAATCAAACAATCCAAGCATTAGAGTATCGATATAAAACTTTGAGAAAATAAAACGCGACAGCTCACAGACAATATTAAATCTAAAAGGCAGATTTAAACCTAATTTAAACGTCTTCGAACATGAAGAAAAGGTGCATTTTTATTAGTCCATTGTCGAGCAAATATTTTAATATCGTTCGTAATGAATCAAAGCGGTCTGCTGCAGTTCGAGCGCCACGAAAATTGCATTAAGGGTCTGAAATTTTAATAAAAGGTTTTGATTAATGATTTCCTGGACTTTTCTACGATAATTGGCAACCGGGAAGAATTTTGACGTGCCGCTCCGCTGTGAAAGCATTCGGCGAAAGCGATATCGTTAAACCTTTAATTTGGGTTTTTCGTTGCTTTAGCGCATTGCTAATTTCAAATAACAGAAAATACACACGCGATTCCAATAAACAGGATTTTTTTAGTGTAAAAAAGTTGTGTGTGCACTATGTGCGCATATTTTTTTTTTACTTTAAATAGTTAAATTAACTATTGTGCTTAATCATCTGCTGATGATGCTAACATGGTTAGCGAAACGCGCGTCCAGTGTAAAAGTAAAAGTGTTTTGGTGTATTGTGGTAATTTAGTGTTTTTATTTTGCTTTTTGCTAATAAAAGCAATAAAATCATTATATAAGCAAACAAAAACTAGAATAAAAGTCGGCAAAAAGTTAACAACAGGATTTAATGGAACCAAAGGTCTGAAACAAGGGTGCTGTATTTCACCAACAATGTTCAAGATATATCTCGAACAAGTTTTCAAAGGTTGGAAGCAAAAATGTAGAAATATGGGAGTACCCATAGGGGATAACATGCTCTTCACACTTTGCTTCGCGGACGATCAGGTGATCATAGCACAAGATTACGATGACATAAATTATATGACACGTAAGCTTATAGAAGAATATCAGAAATGGGGACTCGAGATCAATACTAACAAAACAGAATATATGTGTCGGAGGAGAACAACAAGATCTAATACTAGAAGAAGGGAAGAAAATTAAGTGCTGCACAAAATACAAATATTTGGGTATGCAAATCACAATTGATGGACTGTTGGATACAGCAATTAAAGAACGAAACCAACTTGGAAGGAATGCTATCACGGTATTGAATGGGATACTGTGGGACAGAAACATAAACAACAAGAACAAAACTCTAATATACAATTCCATCATAAAGAGTATAACCAGGTACGGCTGTGAAGTGTGGCCCATTAAGGAAACAACAAAACGAATGCTGGAAGCTACAGAGATGGATTTTTGGAGAAGATCAGCAGGCAAATCAAGATTCGAGCGAATAACTAATGAACGCATAAGAGAGATTATGGAAGTTAAACATACGATAGTGGACGACATAAAGAACAGTCAACTCATATGGTACGGGCATGTCCAAAGAATGGCAGAAATAAGAATCCCAAAGCAAATTATAAACTGGAAACCTGCAGGAAGAAGAAACCGGGTAGACCCAGAAGAAGTTGACAGGAAGGGATTGACACGTTTATGGAGGAAAGATCTCTCGGAGACGGTGCATGGAGAGACAGACAGGCATGGAGAGATGGCATCGGAAGACGTAGAACGTTTTAAACCGATTAATATATATATATATATATATATATATATATATATATATATATATATATTTTGCTTTTTATTGTGCTTTAAATCAAATTAAAACTTGATCCAAAAAGTTATACAGGGTGAGACAAAATTAATATTTAACATTGGTCGCCTTTAAAAACATGTTACTCTTTTATTTTAAATAGAACACCCAGTATATTATTCCGATATTCAGTGGAGAATTCATGTCTCTTCAAAATACTATTAAGGTTGCCTACCCCTCAAACAAAGGTTTTCATAGATATCTTCATTTACATGATTTAATCTGAGTAGATCTTTATTATTTGATAAAATCTAGGTGGTTGTGATATGTCTGACGTTACTTTAACATAGCTGTCTAATTAGTCCAACTTTAACAACTAGTTATCATTTTGTGTGAGTTAAAACACAAAAAAAAATTCTCAGAAATTAACAAAAGGTATATCACACAGCACACCCTCCCTAGATTTTTTCAAATAATAGAGATCTACTGACGCAAAATCATAAAAATTAAAATATCTAGGAAAATCTTTGTCTGAGGGGTAGGCAACCTTAATAATATTTTGAAGATATGTAAATCCCGCATTGAACACCGGAAAAATATACTGGGTGTTCCATTTAAAATAAAGAAGGAACTTGCTTTTAAAAGTGACTAATGTTCCATATTAATTTTGTCTCACCCTATTTAACTTTCGGGTCAAATTTCAATTTGGTTTAACATATATTGGTTACTGTAATTAAATATCAGGCTATACTAGGTCAACTAAAATTTAGATAGCTGTTATCGAAATTTAAAATTTACTCTTCACTTACACAAAATGTGAAATATGTCAAAATCCTTAGATTTTAGGTATATGCTTCTTTAATAAAACTCACCTTTATTTTTTTTCCTAGAATCCTATAATCAATTAATATATAGGGTGTTAGATTATTTTTTTTACTAAAATCTTTCAAATGTTTACTAAATGTGTATGTTTTATATGATAAACTTCCTCTAGATTGCTATTATCTAAATTTAAATGAAGAGCCTGCTGAACTACGTCTATCTGAAGACTGAAAGAGAAAATCTACTTACGCACTTACCGGCGGTATTGACGTTTGTCTCTTTAAATGAGATAGTGGAGGTGGGTTGTACGCCATATTGGCAAAGACTAGCCTCTCTTCGTAGTCGTATTCGCAGAGGATCTTGTTCTCGCACAAGTAGAATCTATCACCAACGCAAAACCTGAAACAAGAAGACAAATATATGACTTTTTATCTCTTATTATATTTTATATATCTTTTTAATGATATCTAATGTATAATATAATTTTGTTCCGCTTTAATTAGATAACAATATTGATACGTTATTTTATAGGGGCATCCAAGTTTTAAATAGTTCTGGCTAGGTTATCAAAATATCTAGTAATTATCCCTCATAGTTTATGAATTATCGCTTGTCAAATTTCTTTAATTTCGATATTGACTCACTGACAGATCATCAAAATTCTAAGGTACTTCTAGATGTGTCACATACTCCAAATTTAGAATTTTAGGTACCTTAAGCTTATAACCAAAGGAAAAAATGAAAAATCTCAAAATATCCTTATGGATTAAAAATTAGCTGTCTAACCGCTACCGGTAACTGGCTTTCCAGTCGAGAAAAAGGTAGAAAACTAGAATTAATCGGAGCAGTCTCCCTTCTGATTTTATCTATATATCAATGTACCAACAATAATTCAAGGATTATGATTTTTTTCTAGCCAGACTTTAACTTGTAATGTATTTATTTATTTTTTTTAGTTTAATATGTAAAATACTAGGCTTGAACCTTAAACATACAAACGTATCGGTCCTTGAAAAAGCTAAATGCGAGAGTATTGAAGTCATGATTACAAAGTCCCGCTTAAGATGGGCTGGTCACGTATGCAGAATGCAAGAAAACCGCATACCAAAATCTCTACTTTACGGTGAGCTTGTAGACGGTAAGAGGAGGCCGGGTGGACAACTGAAAAGGTACAAGGACATTTTCCACGAAAACTTAAAGGGAATTAACAAGCAGAACGAGTGGGAAGAAGCAGCACAATAGAACGGAATGGAGAAGAATTGTAAAGTCAGATAACAGCGACAACCAAAAAGTAAAGAGGCAACAAAGCAATGAGATTTTTGAATGTCTGGAGTGCGGTAGGCAGATAACATCACGTATCGGGCTTTTCAGTCACAGAAAAGCTCATGAAAGAAAACGCCTTGCGTGATCTTCTGATGCGTGTCAAATACTCGTCAGCGAGTAATGGCAGTATGTACAGTATGTAACGATCTTTCGGGGAAGGGACACTTCGGCCAATTAAAAAGGTGCAAAATATGCATTTGGATGGGTATTCGAAGGTTCCTCAAACAGAGGCGTGCCGAAGATGTAGTAACGCCTTTCCGAGATAGTACCAACATCAGTATTTTCATCTTCAAAATGAGTTCGGTACTGACTTTTAAATTAGACGGTCGAATTTACTCCGTGTAGATCTTATATTATCCAGTGGTCTTTTTAATTGGTTTAGTAAGTTCTCTATCTAAAGATTGTCTCAAATAAATTCTCAAGTTCGGAAATTCTAAACTATTCATGCTTAAAGTATTTTAATTGTTGTTTTTGGATTTTCTCTAATATTTTTCTTTATTAATTATTTAAGACTTTCTGTTTGTTCTAAAGGCTTTAGTAAAATTTAGATGTCATTGCATAAGTGATTATTTTGCAATTGTTCTTTTTATTAAATTCTAATTTAAATTTAATTGTTCAGTGAATATTTTTTTAACATATTAATTTTCTGCCAACGATAATTCTAAGAGAGATTTGAGAGTGTATGCGAATTGTAGATAATTTAAATTGGACTAATAAGAAGAATATTTTGTATTTTTTTTTAACTTTATCATCTCTGACTTTTAATTTCAATTCTCTAATTGTCATTAATTATTTTTGATTCAATTTCTTTCTTTTTCATTAATTATAAATGTTTTGTTGTTAAATCTTTTTCTTTATTTTTTTATTTATTTATTTCTTTATATTAAATATAGTTAGGTGTTGTGAAAAATCGGCATTTTATTTCTTTATTTCACCTAATCACTAAAATATTAAGTTATTTAAAAGAACACTGTGAGAACCGGTCGAGTGGTTCAATCCAAAGTATGAGTGCAAGACCGAAGAGGTAGATCTACAAGGGGATCAATGAAATCTTCGACAGGTTCTTGTTGTTGATGTATTGCTGATGGATGTTGACGTAATAAGGTAGGTGGCAATAGAGCTTATAGTAACTGAATTTAGAAAGAGCCCTTACTATAAAAGTGCGATACCTTAATTTCTATTTTTAGCTGGTTATATTTTGTTTTCTTATATATAAACGATAAACTCTATTTACGCTCTGAAAAGACGGTGCTCTCATTAATCCAAGTTCTGCCTACCGCTCAATAAGTTATTTTAATTATAATAATAATATAAAGGCCAGACTACCATGATAACGGACAAAATCTTGAAAGTTTTGTCACATAGATACAAATCACGATCAAAGAAACGTATGGCAGTATCTTTTTATACCAATGACAGTCAAAATTTGAACTAAGTTTACTTAAAATATAGCCAATAAAAAATAACAAAATGCGAATCGTATCCATTTTTTTCTCTCCATCCTAAACCGACATAAATAAAACGCTCTCGAACGTGGAATCCCTTTATTATTCGACTGTTCGCCGGTCGCTTGATATCTTTTTTAATTAACACTAACCCCTGATATATGGAGGCGTTTAGAGACGCACCGAAATATAAAAATAAACGGCAATATAATCCGGCATGGGCAAAGGCGTCCGATGACAAACGGCTTCCAATATGCAATTACTCATTACTCCGGTTGCCTCTCTTACTGGTTCTGTGCGCGCTGGTCCGCTCATTATATTCAATTGACCCGTCGCCATTAACCCGTTCTCAATACGACCATATCGATTCTATTTTTCAGCTTGGTTTTAACGCGAACTCGGCCATACATCGACTAAATTCCTCCTTTCGGACTGGCATTATTGGTTTAATTAAGTTTTATAGTGGCGCTTGGCGTTTTGAAAAGATGAATCTCTAATCTCTCCCTAAATTAATTCACTCGCGATTTCATCGCCAGTGAGTTAATATTTTCGATCGACGATTAAATACCATTTTATCGTCTCGTATAAAAAATAACTATGATTACTTTGATTACGCAATTTAAACCACCTATGTTAAAAAGTAAATAATGCATTTTTAACCTTGTTTATGAAAACAACTATAGAGTATATTATTTTTTAAAAAAATCATAATTGGGAATAGGGCAAATAGGCCAGTAAGCGAGGGTTTTAGGGTCCGAATTCTGAACACCTGCACCGATTGACTTAAAATTTTAACTGAATAGAGATATATGTAAGAAATAAAAATTACATAGCGATGTGAGCTTTCACCCTGGGGGGTGAAAAATACATCACCAATTTTAATTGCAAAAATCAATAAAGGGACGAATTCGACGCAAAATATGTTCTATAACATTTTTTTAGAAAATTAATATTTTCCCAGTTATTTAGGATTGAAAATGTTGATTTTTCATCTAAAAACTGCATGTTTCTCTGCCATTTTTTTTAAATAACTCGAAAACCTTGTGTTTTATCGTAAAAATCATATAAAGCAAGAATGAAGCTTTTGGAATAACTAAACGATCCATTTTTTGTTAATTACCGTAGGTGTAATAATAGCCGAGTAAAAGTGATTTGAAAAAAATTCTTCACAAATTTTCAAATTTGTGAAGCTTCGGTAAAAGTGATTTTTTATTTTTCGAATATTAAATTGCAACGTTTTACCGTAAAATAATGGCGAAAGAATGTATTTTTCGAAGAAAGTGAATATGACCGTTTTACAATGCTTGAAAAGACCTTTTAAATGCTTTTTTAAAAAACTCGCGGAGTTATGATAAAAACAAAATGGTCACCTCAATTTTTCGGAAACAAATTAACAACAAAATCTATGACTAAAATTATAAAAATAAAAACAAAGCGTAATACAGTTGGCTAATTTAGGCATTAAAAATGGGCTCTGCAAGTTCAAGCGGTTTAGAATGCCTAAATTTGGAAAAAAGTTGAAAATAATGAAATTTTATTTTTTTTATTTTTTTAAAAATTTTAATTTTTTTGACATATCTCAAAAACTAAGCAAAATATGTAAAAAATGCAACAGAGTAAAATAGAAGGTCTTTTTTGCAATATTTTTGTTTCCCTGTTTCAATTTTCTGTAGATCTCTTTATTTCGTAGATATTACGTTTTTTAGTTTGACTTGCGTGTAGGACCACCTTCTTTGAGCCCTTAAAACCCGCAAATCTAGTAAAAATGAATGTAGCTCCTGTAATTTCCTACAAATTGATAGTTTTTATTTTTATTATTTTAGTTTTAGAAAAATGTGTCCTTTCGCCACTATTTTAAGGTTAAAGTTTGCAATTTAGTTTTCGAAAAATAAAAAATCACCTTCACAGAGTGATAACTCGGCTATTATTAGTTCACCTACGGTTATCAACAAAAAATAAGTCGATTACTTATTTCAAAAGCTTCATTTTTGCCTTATATGAGTTTTGCGATAAAACTCAAGATTTTTGAGTTATTTATAAAAAATGTCAGAAAAATATGCAGTTTTTATATGAAAAATAATTTTCAATCCTAAGTAACTCGGAAAATATTAATTTTCTGAAAAAATGTTATAGAACATTTTTTGCTTAGAATTCATCCCTTTATGGATTTCTGCAATTAAAATGGGTGATGTATTTTTCACCCCCGAGAATGGATGGCATTCACACCCAGGATGAAAGCATACATCGCTACTATGTAACTTTTGTTTCTTACATATATCTCTATTCACTGTTAAAATTTCACGTTAATAGGTGCGGGTGTCAAGAATTCGGAAGTAATACCCAATTTTCGTCCTCCCTTACTGGCCTAAAATAAAATAGAAAAATAATATACAGGTTATCCCATAAAAACATAAGTTTGAGTAATATTTCAAGAATGGCAGCTATCAGCGAAAATCTAGTTACACCACTGAATTCTACAGAAAAAACTCTACGGTACTCAATTTTTATATTTTCTATAAGTTATAAGATAACCCAGTAACGAAGGGGATGGAAGAATACGGCATTTCGCCCTGTATTTCAGGAACTAAAATGACAGGGCAAATCTGTGTGTAGCATATTTAGCACAGTGTG